GCACGATCAGCTCCACCGCACCCTCTGCCTGCACGACGACGGCGAACCCACGGTGGAAAACGAAGAGGAAAGGCAAAGGCGGGAGGGGGGATTCCCCTCCCCGCGGGTGTGGGTGGTGGCCTGCGCGGATTTCTCCGCGAAGTATGGCATCTGCTACCGATTGAGCACCGGGCAGACGGGCGTGTACTTCAACGACTCCACCAAGATGATATGGGATCCGGTGCTCGGGAGGGTCGAATACTACGCCCGCGTTCGCGTGGAAATTCCCCAAGGCGACGGCGAGAACGCCCTCTACGCGAAGGACCAGCTCGAGGCGTTTCACATCGCGAATGCCCCTGGCGCGCTGGAAAAGAAGATCACCCTTATTAAGTACTTCACGTCGTACCTTAGTCGCACGCATAGCAGTGGGAATGACAAGGTAAAGGTGGTGCGCTGCTCTCCGTATTCGAATTCGGACCCCCCGCAACCGTCAGATCCACAGGGGGTAGGGGACTTTGCCTACGTCAAGCGCTGGCTTCGCACGGACGAGGCCATTGTCTTCCGACTGTCAAACAAAACCGTCCAGGTATGCTTTAATGATGGGGCAGAGATTATCCTGAGCTCGGAGTGGAGGGTCGTCACCTACACCAACCCTTCCGGCAACCGCCGAACGCTGGCCTTGGCTACGGTGGCAACCGAGTCGGAAGAGGCGGCGTCTCGTTTGCATTACACCAAGGCCATTCTCTACAAGCTAATAAAGGAACACTGTCTATAGAAAAGGAAAAACGAAGACCGGTTCCATCATTATCTCGCCATACCTCACCCATTACTTTTTCCATTCTTGGGAACATAAGCCACATGGGGCTAGATATACCTTGTGGTGTTTTAGCAATTTACCCGATCAGTGAAGCTCCTCTTTATTTTGGGTTGCCTTGATCTTGAAAAAAAAACGTAGAGTACTTTGCCAGCTGCTTTCCGCTACTTTTTCCATGGATATTGATTTGCTCGTTTCTTTATTGGGTGTGCAAAACCGTTCGATGAAAATCAGGTTGTATAATGGCACCCCTTTAGCTAATGATTGTTGAATCATCTTCAGACAGCATTCCACTGTATTAGAACCTACATTGGAATCCACAATGCATGTCCTACATATCGGAGTGCCACGAACCGTAAAAAAGTTGAGGAGAAAAGAATGCAAAAACACGTCAAAAATACAAGTAATATCATCAGCAGCGGATTTCGAACAAAAAAAGATAATAATATTTAGAAGTGTAAAAAAGGATGTGACGTCCAATACCCTACTGAAATGCACATTGAAAATGACGGCTCTGTTAGATAAAGCCCCCTCGATCTCTGGCACGCGCACTGTGTCTGCCACTTATATGTGTTTCCTTTTTATATCTCTTCCTTCTCTTCATCCACTCCTTACTGTAGTTTTTTTTACTCTTTACAAGAGCTTCACACACACAAGAAGAACATACGCAACGAGTCTCGTCCCATTCAACCACCTACGGTTTCATCTTAAACATCCTGCTGCTCGTCATCTCAAGATGGTTCGGGAGCATCCAACAACAGCAATTTTGTGCTAATTGTAAGCCTCTGCAAAGAAAGAAATACTACCGAGAGTAATTATTCAGAACTCCACAATTAAAGGCAAGAAATGGATGCTAAAGTCTAAAAAATAAGAATAAAGAGTAGCGCAATTACCACTTTTCCCTTAATCTTTCGGTCAGTGTGGTCATTTTTGCTCTGTTTCTATGCGCATTTTTTCATACACTTGTCGGATTTAGTAATAGTGATTAAAGTGCTCAGACTAGAGTAACTTAAAAATATGATTATTTTTATTTTAATAATCGATCACGTGCAAGGATGAGTATTTCCTTCTTGCTCTGTACGGGATAACATTACAAATTCTTTTATTTTTATCTATGCTGTTGTCGTAATTGAAGAAGACTTTGATGAAAATATTTATAAACTGCCCAAATATTTTCTCAAAGATCGTATTCACCTTGGCCTGACCACACCTCTTTGTTTGTGAGTGTTGCCACTTATCTGCATGATGGACAAACAGCATGATAAAACTCTCGTGTAACCATTCACGGTTCAAATTCGATTTTTGAACGAGCCTCCCTAAAAGGTGTGAGGTGTGAAGCCATCTATGTATTTATTTCCTATATCCATTTTTTCAGCTTATACCTCTCAAGGAGGTAGGCACTTTGATCGTAGCTATGGTTTCAATAAATAAAGAAATGCAAAATAAAGGAGGCGGTGAGTTTTTCAGGTTGTTCTAGGGCTGAATTTTAGATAAATTCCGTGTATGTATTAGAGTCCTCTTTTATTGTTCCTTGCGTTCTCTTCTATCCCTGGAAAGTCGATGTACTTACGAAAGAATCTTTATAAAGTGAAATTTTCTTCATAAAACCCGATAAAGGTGTCCTCTAAACTCATCCACTGCACGTAGAACAAAAGGGAAAAGCATTAAAAACCTTTTACGCGTCGTATCCATAACAATCAAAGAGCTCTACTTGAGTCTAAAGCGAATAAATTACCCAAATAATTTATACCACTCGAGCCGCAAACGCATCCCGCGGTGAGTACACCCTTGATCCTCAACAGATCACCCTCACCCTCCTCTTTACCGACCCGAACCACACCTTCCTTTCCACATGCAAAACGTCACCCATCCGATGGGTCGGGCGCCGCGGCCCGACGCGTCCCCTTCCCCCTCTTCTGCCATCTCGCCTTCAGCGACGATCCCCTCCCTTCTCTCCTCCCCCCCCGACACGGACGTCCTCAAGGGAGACCCTCCCAAGACACACCCGGTCGTGCCATCGGAGTGGATCTCCGGCGAAAAGGGGGGGCCCCCGATCCTTCCCACCTCCCTTTTCGTGACGTCTCCTTCCTCCTACGCCACCTCGGTTGGGTCACAGGGGGTCCTCTGGGCCGTGACACACCAGGGCGCGCCAACGGAGGGGGCCGTGCATCGCAGCCGGAGGGTGGCGGGATCAGAATCGGGATCGGGACCGGTTTGGACCCATGCAGAAACGCCTTCCCACGGGGCTGGGACGGGAACCCCCTTCGATGGGTCCTCTTGGGGCCTCCCCGAGGAGCTCTCGCGAAGCCTCCGGCACATGGAGCCCTCCACCGAGGGTTCTCAGGGCGCGACTCCGGTGAAAAATCGTGCAGCTCTCGAGGCGGCGGCAGAGATGCTGAGTTCCTCAAAATAGGGAGGGGGCAGGTAGGGGAGGAGGTTATCATTACCAACCAGACCTTCGCGAAGGGGGATGGACTATTATATTGCTGTATAATAAAAAGTTTTATAAAATCTTATCAAATGGATGTGGAAATTACTCCAATAATGTCTTGTACTTTCTCTCCTTCCTTTTTGACCAATATGGCAAAGTTTCTTCTGAAGCATACGATATTTTGGAAATATAGAGTAATGGAAAAGTGAAGCAATATTTTTTCATACAGTTATGTTTTTGTATAGATATATAACGGCTACCTTTATATTTCTTCTTACCCTTGGTAGAGGAATTATTCGTACATAAACTTTGCTTACTAAATATTATCCTATTTATTGTATTTGATTTTCTTGCCCAAGAAAGATGCTCCCCATGGATTTTCACTTGCGTTAGCTTTTTGACGCAGTCCAAAATTCGTTGAATTGTTTTTAAGCATATACGTTATTTCTTATATTTGGATTAAATAAGTATATTTATGCATTCCCCCAAATTATCGCTCTGCCGCATCTTAAATTGAAATCAAAACTCGGGTTTTTATATATTCTTAAAATTCTAATCCCTTTTATTAACAGATCATAATGAATTGTTTACCATTTTTATTGCTTTATTTATTCGTTTATCCTCAATTGAACGATTTTTTGATAGTGTATATATCGTGGTGTTTCTGAGTAGGGTAGAAGGAAGACCCCTCTACGCAGTAAACACAATAGAAAAGGGCTGTGCAACCACATAGTGCAGCATAATACGGTATACAACACTGATGAAAAGGGTCGTTGGAGGGAGAAGCATGGCTTCAGGCATCTTGGTTTGGATATCTATCCTCCCACTTGCTTGCCGTAGCCATCGCTCTCATAATGTAGCCTGCGAAAAAAGCTTGCAGATGCTCAGCTTCGTCCTTCCCCTGATCCGGGGTAATAACTCGCCGAACCACAGTACGGAGGCCGGCTTTTTTTTTTGACTGCTTTTAATATGATTAATTCCGCTTTCATATTTATTTATTTATTCAATGCATTTATCCATTTATGAAGATTATGTTTTACGAAAAGTAACTTCTAACTTTTTCACGACAGCTATTTTATTTATTCACTCTCATTTCTACTATACATTAATAATGAGACAGTTGTTGGTGGGCGTAAAAATAACAAAAATATGAAAAAGAAATCAAAAGATGTGGTCCGTGATCATCCTTCACATTGCCACTACAGAAAGTGACGCTCGCCTTGCACCTGTGATATGGGACTCACATCCAGGATGCGCTATTAAGCCATTACTGCCACGATGCAACAGAATTGGGCACTCGTTTTTGCAGTGTGCCCTATGAAAAGTTGTGCGACTGATGGATGGTCGGGGGATAAAATTTGGCGTGTTTAAGAGCTATCATTTTTCAATCTCTAACCTATCGGATCAATTAATAGATTAACTCATTTAATCCTAAATTTGTGTGGGAGAATCGTACCCGTGGATCGTCCCTTTGGTTGTTTGTTTGTCAGTCTTAGGTCGGAAGGTACAAAGCGCATTGGTGCCACCGTTCACTTCGAATTCGGGAAAACCAATCAAATGCTATGGAATTCCAACATCATGCCTAAGAAACGTGTGTGTATGTGTGTGTGTGTATGTGTGTGGAAAAATGTCTGCGAAGGCGAAATGCATTCAAATTAGCAAGCCATTAACTGTGGCCCCAGAGGCTGCTCATTTCAGTTAGGATGGCTTCGTTCTATATCTTCTATAGTTTTCGCTTCGTGTACGACGATAAATTAGTCTGTCGCATCGGAGGTGATTCCTCAGATGTATTTCCCATGCTATCGTGCATGCCTTGGTTGCTTTTGCCTAATAAATTACTAGCGCTAGTCTTTTTGTACATTCCCAGAAGTGAATATCTCTAAAATAGAAGGGTTAACAAAAGATTGGTCTTTAAATGCCAACACCATATACGTTTCTTAGTAAAGATATCAAAATACACCATGTTGTTTAAACGATGAATGTGTAGAAGCTTCCTTTTTTTGTTTCTCTTAAAGAAGATCTTCAAGCGTTTCTTTTATTGTGCTTAGGGGATCTTTTCTTTTTTTTACGTGCTTATTACGCCACGTTTTTCTTCTTCCTGGTTTCTGGTATTGAGAGTCGACTTTTTACTGCGAGAAATTATTAAGGGATATTCAACGGATTCTGGGGCTATTATCTCCTATTTCTTCCCGTTGCTTTTTCCTATTACCCTCGTTGAGGAATAATCTCCAAAGCAAAGCCTTTGCTAGGTGTCATGCCTATACCAGCACAATTATGTGTTCTATCCACATCAAAAGATACCGAAACGGATGACAATGTGGATGAATGGCATAATGTTCACATCCTGGGGTTGTTTTCCCATCGTCGAGGTAAAAAAAGATCCCCACCAACGCCGAAGGTTGAGGAGGCGCAAAGTATATTGGAGATCAAGCCGAGCGATGAGATGAGGCAATGCGTTTTCATCGCCTCATCAAACGTGAACGGCGGCCTCCACGCTCGTCTGGGATGTGGAGATGCCCCACAGTCATCCGAAGTGTCCAACCCGCGCACGCGGTACCCCTGCCGCCGGCGGTCCTCCGTGGGGACCCCTTCCTTCCTGAATTATAAACAAGGAAAAGTCGAGCGGCGAGGTCGTCGCGGGGAAGGGGCCTCGCGGGGCGTCCGGGACGCCGGCGACCTCCTACCATTGGGCCGCTATGTGAGCCTGCTGGATCTCGCGTGGGTCACCCC